TATGACACTAATGGACTAAATTTGTTTCCAAATTTGAAGTATCATATCACACTAGATTGAGGAACAATCAAGTGACAAGGGACAAAACCAGAGTGGAGATGAATTATTGGTTTAATTTCCCTAGCCATAAAAAGTTGTTATTCTCATCAATGATCAAAGAGGTAGTACATCCTAAAGCAAAAAAGAACACAGGCCTTCTAATATCTTATCTCTGTCAATGACTACACTACTCTGTGACTTTACACAAGTCATTCTCTCAGGCTTACCTCATTCATTAAAGACACAGAAAATACTGACACCTGTACTACCTTGTAGGTCTGTGAATGAAAGAATATGAATGAAATCACATATGCGATTCCATGGAAGGCAGAAGGTACTTAAAATGTTAATTTTATTCTTCTTACTGTAAACATTCTGAAGTCAAACCCTGGCTAATATTTTATTGCCACTCATCTCCACAGACAGAAAAAAGTAAAATGTTTTTGGCTCAGAATTCTCAAAATGCAGAAATCAAGGCTCCAAATTGGGAAGGAAAATAAAAGAATTAAGGTGTTTAACATATTCTGCTAATAAAAACTGAAAACATATAGTACCAGCATTAGAAGAAAAAGGAGTATGTGGCACTGATGGGATTATTGGGATTAACTGAAAAGAAAAGAATACTTCTGCCTAGAATATTCAAATAAATACAAATGTGGTTTGTCTCTTTTACCATAAGCTTGTTCTTTTCTTTTTTTTTTGGTACCGGGGATCGAACTTGGGTCTTTGCGCTTGCGGAGCAGGTGGCAAAACCACTGAGCTAAATCCCCGGCCTACCATAAGCTTGTTTATCTCGCTGTGTACCCCACTTTACCCATGCTGAGGATATGTAGCACAGTGGCAGAGCACTTTCCTAGCATGGACAGGGCTCTGGGTTCAGTCCCCAGCACAGCAAAGAGAAAGAACCATTTCACCCAAATAATTGCAGAAAGAGCAAGGCTCACCTTTTATATATTTATAGCATCAGTAAATTAAAAAAAAAACTCAAAAGAGCCAGAAAATGAACAAATTCAAAATTCAAACTCTTTCCTCAAATGGCATACATTTCTACATGAAACACCAAAATATGAGTTAAATACACAAGGATCAGGATAAATTTTTCTTCCATGACTGTTGGCCAAACTCTTCTTGAATACAAGAGAACTTTCTGCACTCCAATATGATTTCTCAGGAGTGATAAGTAATCTAATAAGAATGTTAAGTCTCCAACATGAAGAATCTTGGCAATAAAAACAGACAGTTAATTCTACTTAGAAGTCAGGGCAGCCCTGCCAGTGTTGCTCCAAAATGAGGTAATGTCCATAGCTCTTATCTGGCCTTTATTGAGATTTAATGTCATTTACCCTTGGCTTTTATGAACCTGCTGCATAATCTCACCTTTTCTAATGTGTGTTATTTCCATCCATTTTAACATTGCAATTATGAACCTCTGGTTCTGAAAACGATTAAGAAATGAATCCCACATGTTCTGTTTTTGCAAGTACTATAATTTGAGTCTTTCTTCTATAGTCTCAGAAAATTCAGAGATCAGCATATTTCTTGTTTTTAAAGGTATACTATAGAAACACTCTGAGTTTTGATATATTTATGTAAACATTTTCAAAGAAGTCAAAATGTGTAATTCAAGAAAATGTTCTGTGAAAGAATTTGTTTTCTGATTACAAAATGATTTCCTGCTTTTGAAAAAAATAACAATTTTATATTTACTTAGCTGGCTCAGAAGGTCCCATGGAGATTATCATTCCTTTCAATCCCTAATATCTCTTTCCCAGGTACAGACCTTTCCTGGTTTCAAAGGTAGTTTTATGTTGAGAGGAAATCTACAAGCTGTAAAAAGGAAAGAGAAAAAGAGCCTCCCAATTTAACCCCTTATGCTTTCTGCACAAAGAACCACAGGGTGAAACAAAGCCCTTCTAACACAGATGTGACACTCAAACGAACATGACAGGAAGATTTTGCACATGCCTTTGGCTTCCTTTTTCCAACCAGGGAAAACAACCTTGATAAAGGCAGGCGTGTGTTTGACAACAGAAATACAATATCTGACATCCACACTGTTGGCATTTTTTCCAACAAGCCCTTCATGTCACCAACATTTAGGAAAGACAGCAACCACCACACAACCCAGTGCTGAGGAGGGATATTTGCCTTTCCACAGAGTTTCACCATATGCAGACAAAGTCAATCTGAGAATATCACAGGCAGCCCAGAGACAGAAAAGATTATGTATGTGTGACTGCTGGGCAGGCTAGTGAAATGCAGCCAGGCTGTCAGTGGCGGCAGTGGCGGCGGTAGTGGTGGTAATGGGGCGCGACTGGGCAGCTGTATGAATATACAACCGGTGAAAGAGGGGAGAAGCAATTCCAACCACACTACTTCCCACAAAGTTCATGCAAGAATGGACTGTCAACAAAGACACTCTGAGGGGAGACCACTTTGACAATCTAGGCTTTCATTCTAACTCCACTGCAGCGCATACTTTGAAAAGCCTGTTCAGCATCTCTCATTGTCACCAGCCCCTTTCCTTCAAAGCAGCAGGAGTCTGACAGGCCCAAGAGACCTAACTTCTCTAAGGTCTCTGGGCCTCTGTGAAGCATCTCTGTAAGCATAATTATCCACCCCCTCTTCATCATAAGGATAAAGCCAGACCACACGAGAGATGAGAGTTTAAGGGTTCACAATAAGAAATAAGTAGGGAGCACCCATACTGCACATAACACAAAGCAGATGATCCCAAAGTGCAGTGTAGACACTAGGGGTGATGGCACAGACCTATAATCCCAGCACTCTGGGAGGCTAAGGTAGGAGATCATAGGTTGAACCTAGCCCAGGCAACTTAGAAGCTTAGCAAGACCATTTCAAAATAAAAAAGGCTGAGCATATAGATCAGTGAGAAGGCCCAGGGTTGAATCCCCAGCACTAAAATAAATTTAAAAAGTACAGTCTGGAGCCCCTGCGGGTATTCTGTGACTAACTGTTTAGGAGGTCCACAAGATCAAACTACTTTCAAAATGATGCTAAGATCTTAATTTCTTCCTTCACTTTCATTCTTTCATGATATACAGCAGTTTGCCAGAGGCAGCAAGGGATGTGAGCTGCTCTCACTCTGATGACTAACGGAGTATGTGCTTGTGGGTCCCTGAGTTTTCATGTATTTTTAATTTTATTTTCTCATTAAATATTGATAGGCAAAATCTCCTTGGGATCGTCAAAAACTTTCAAGAGTGTAATGAAGTCTCGAGACCAATTTGAAAACCATCAGCCTAGAACTTCAAACCTACCCAAACTTGCGGCTTACAGATGGGCTGATTTCTCACCCACCCAGAGCCTTTCTCTATGATGTTCCCTCTGCAAAGGAGATTCCTTCACTTTGTGTGGCTAATTTCTCCTGGTGCAGGCATGATTTTCCCAAGACAAGTCAGGTGGTTCTGCTATGTGCCCAGCTAGTACTTAGCGCATTATAATGTGATTTTCTGGTCATTTTTTTTTTTTTTTGGTACCAGGGATCGAACTCAGGTCCTTGAGCTTGTGAAGCAGGTGGTGAAACCACTGAGCTAAATACCCAGCCCTCTGGTCATTTTTTTAATTCTTGTCTCCTCCTTGGCAAGGATTCCCTGTTCTGACTGTGAACAGTAGCATGCAGTAGGCACTCAGTAACTAGTTGTTGGCTATATAAAAGAGCCAAGAAGGAAGGCAAGAAGATGAGTTCATCTTGCATTCTCACCTATGGGAAATTAGTTACTAAAAATACTAGTTTTCATTACAGAATAAGCTCATTAAAATTATGATAATAATCATTATATCTTATACTCTGTACCAGGTTCTGTTCTAAGCACTCTATATACATTAATTTATTTAGTTTTCTTATAATCTCTATGAAGTATATATCACTTTTTGTTTGTTTTGTTATTTATTTATTTTTCTGGTACCGGGGATCGAACTAGGGACCTTGCGCTTGCGAGGCAGGCAGCAGAACCACTGAGCTAAATCCCTGGCCCGCTTTTTGTTTATTTTGTTTTGAGACAGGGTCTCAATACAGTTCAGGCTGGCCTCAAACTCATGGTGATCCTCCTGCCTCAGCCTCCCAAGTGCTGGGATTACATGGGTGTGCCACCACGTACAGCTGAAAGATACACCACTCACTGTTACCCTAATTTCAAAAAGGAAGACACAGATGCACAGGTAGTGAAGGGTAGATTTCACACTGGCAGGCCAGCTCAAGGTCTATACTGGGACTCCTCTGCATGCTGCCTCCTGTGTCGGCAATGTGGACCTCGCACTTGCAACAGGTACAAGGCCAACTCTCAACCCTTCTCATAAACCAGGAAAATGACCAAACATTTCTTTTTTTTTCTTTTTTTTTTGGTACTAGGGATTGAACTCAGGTCCTTGTGCTTGTGAGGCAGGTGTCAGCTCCACTGAGCTAAATCGCAGGCCAGACATTTCAAACCTATATCCAGCCCCACTCCATGGACCATTCCATGTGGGACCAACAGCATGTGAACTGAAGATTTCGCCAACACCACCAGTCCCTAAGTTAGGGTTTATATAGGACAGTTTCAGTAAGAAGTCCTTTTCTCATTATTCATTGTACTTAAGTCTTTTCTTTATGTTAACAAATTAATTTGTATATTTATTCAAAATAAATGTTTTTTCCAAACTATAGAGAAAACAGGAAAGAAAGGTTTGTGATTTCCACAGATTTCCATATACTGTGGCTCTGTACTGTGGGGGAACTCTCTCTGACCAGTCTTCTTTCCCCTCCTCCTGGGGAAGCTACCCTCGTGGAAGGCTCAAACTTCACCCTGGACAGAAAGTGGTCTGTAGGCACACTTACTATGGAAAAGTATGTTGCAGAAAACACAGGGATTAATGCAAAAGATAATCTGCCATAATCACAGTGCAATACTGTGGTCATGTTTGAGATGAAAAAAAGCATACAAAGTAATAACCTTACATACCTGGAGAAGGGTCCCGTGAATATGGTTTTGCCGGAAACACTGGTCAGTGCAGTTGGGGAGTGTGGTCAACAGGGTTCGGATAGTACTGGGAACCTGGTCTATCATAACAAGTGGGACCAAGGCACGAGCTGCCATTTCCCGGGAGCGGTAGACAGGTGAGCGACCGCACCTAGGAGGAAATAAAAACACAAACCCATTCAGTGCTCCACATCATCTGTACCTTTGCATAGATGTCCTACCTAGCCTGGCTCAAATGGCCAAGGAGGGGTGGTGACAGGAGGTGCTCCTTAGGCCAAATGTTTTCTACAAAGTACTTCCTTTATTCCAAATGATGTTCTTTTGTATTTGCATTAATTCTACAGGTAACTCTGCTTTTTTAAAAAATTTAATTACAGGGCCGGAGATTTAGCTCAGTGGTTCCACCGCCTGCCTTGCAAGCGCAAGGACCCAAGTTCAATCCCTGGTACCAAAAAAAAAAAAAAATTTAATTACAGGGGCTGAGGGTGTAGCTCAGTGGCTCTGCGCCTGCCTGGCAAGAACAAGGCCCTAAAAAAAAAAAAAATTTAATTACAGGGGCTGAGGGTGTAGCTCAGTGGCTCTGCGCCTGCCTGGCAAGAACAAGGCCCTGAGTTCGATCCCTGGTAGCAAAATAAATAAATAATTACAGGGCTTAGTATAGGAGGGTCCCTGCCAATGTACTAATGCCCCTGTGTTGCAGCAAAATTCTGTTAAAATAAAGACTTTCTCTCATGAACCTGTAAATCTGCTTGTGATTCATTTCTTGGTCTCTAAAGTTTTGTAATTGTAAATGTACTCAAGAGTTTTATCCTGTATAGTATGGACCAAAAAAATTTATATATATAAATTATATATACTGTATATATATACTATATATTATATTATTATATATAGTATATATAATCTATTAGTATTATAGATACTATAATAATATTATGTATAGTATATATACAGTTTCTATAATTCCATCATGAGATTAAACGTAGACAAGGTTTGGGAAAAATAAAATAACTGGTAGTAGCAAAAATGGCTTACTCTTCAACAATGAAAAGGTATTTATTGGGTGCTTATGATAAGCAAAAAAACACGTGAATCTGGGTGTGGTGGTGCATGCCTGTAATCCCAGCACTTGGAAGGCTGAGGCAGTTGGAGGCCAGCCTGAACTACATAGCAAGACCCTGTCTCAAAAAACAAAAAAGAAAGAAAGGGGAAAAAAAGCACTGTGACATATGCTGTGAAAAATAAGATCACCACCTTTGTCTCTGAGGAGTCTATACTCTAGTTGTCAAGATGAGAAATATGTTTGAAAATATGACCAAGAGCACAAGATAGTATGGAGAAAATGATAAGCAAGTGATGTTGGCATTATAGCTACAGGAAATCAGAAGAAGAATGGGGATCAGGAAAGCATAATTCAAACAGGACAAGACAAAATAGGAAGTCGTTAACCAGGGTCAATGGTGTAAGGCAAGGGCAGAAATGTTCAACGTACAGGGAGACGTATCTGACTGCAATAGAGGCTGAGGACCAGGAGTAGAAGTTACAGCTGAGAGTGAGTCAGGCCTCAAGTCACCAAATCATTGCCTTTGGACTGACTTACACACAAACAACTGGAAAAAAAAGCTTGTTCTTCAATAAGTGAAAGTCATCAACAAGTGGCATTTTGAGATTCCAGGAAGGTCATTGGAAAGGCTGGTCATCTAAGGACCTCTTGAGTTTGTAAACACCCTGCACCTGAGAGGCCACAACCATTTTGTTGAACCTGTGTGCTACAGAACCTTCAAAGGCATGGGATTGAAAGTCTGAGAGAGAAGTCCAATACTACAAGTCCTAGCTTAAGTAAACTCTTGACTAGAACTCTCTAGATATGACCTTTTACCCAATTAAAAAAGCAATTGAACTTACAGAAATGTCTTAGACACCAAGATAAGAATCAGAAAGATCAGAACACAGTAGACTATAGGGGTAAGGGATGGCCTTTGAACTTTTTTCAAAATTAATCCGTGTTCAGGCCGGGGTTTAGCTGAGTAGTTCCACTGCCTCCCTCTCAGGCGCAAGGTCCAGAGTTCAATCCCCGGTACCAAAAAAAAAAAAAAAAAAAAAAAAAATCAGTGTTCCAAGAAGGAATTAGTACTAAGATGGGATCCACTAGGACCACATGGCCATGCAGCCATGGCATGCAGAGATAGAGCCCTTTGACTAAAAATGCTTCTAATCCCCCAGAGGTATCACCAACATTTATCGCAACACAACAATAAATACAGATGAAATTTCTGTATATGGAATGACCTGAGCAGAATTTCAGCATGGTTGTGGTGGGGAGGAGGAAGTAGGGAAAGGAAGAGAGATACAGGGCATGTGACAATATTGTGTCGGGTTTCCTCACAAATGAGGGGTCCGTTGTTAGCTCCATCACACACAGATTCTGGATTAAGAAGTGCTCACATCATATCATCCCTTGGGAAGACACTGAGAGCTAAGGTTACAGTATGGAGCTAGAGAGTTCCAACTGGTCTTTGCCTAGGTTCTGAAAATTCCACCCATTTTTTCACTTATTTTTCTTTTAAAATGATTAAATCTTTGGGGCTGAGGATTTAGCTCAGTGGTGCCAGTTGTCTGCCTCGAAAGTGCAAGGTCCTGAGTTCAATCCCCAGTACCAAAACAAACAAACAAACAATAAAATGATTAAATCTTTAATTAGTAAATACAGTAAAGTGTCTGCTTTAGCCAATGGGGAGAAACTTTATTGGACAAAGAAAAGAAAATACTCTGAAAATGTTTTGTGATTTAATTAGCAAATGACCTCACGGGCAGAGCCATTAGTCAGAAGCTTCCCTGCTGTCCCCCAGCCCTCAGACACACATACTTTGTGTTACAGTGTGTTTGATGTCACTGAAAGGACTTGTATGTAAATGTTTCCCTTCAAATACAAATAACTCTGACATGGTTACAGATATTGTTTCCAATTAGCAGTAACCATACATGAAAGAATGCCCCTCCCACTTTCCTCCTGACCTTTTGCAAATGATGATTTCCCCAAAGAAATCTGGCTTCCATACAGGAGAAAGAATGGAAAGTGGGAAAAGTGCCAGAATGTTCTACTTTTGGATACCCTGTGTTAGGATATTTTTTAAACCCACAAGACCAGGTTAAAAAGCGAAATGAAACCACTCCTCAAAAAGTCATGCAATTTGTCAAAGAGCAGAGAAGCCAATTTTTAAAGCAATATTTAATTAAATAACATTCATTATAAAACAATGGTTAAATGTAATTTCAAACGCCATTTTAGTTCAAACTGTTTAAATGGAAGGTTAGATGACAGCTGAATTTATACATACATATGCATATACGTGTATATGTTATATATATAATACACACTACGCCAAATCACATTTCCAGGTTACTGTTTTGAGAGCTGTTGGTGTGAGGAGATGATCTGTTGAGACCACTGAGAATCTAGTGACTATCAGGATAGAAAAATGACAATGTCTGGGTTTTCATTCTGCTTTGGACAATGAGTTTATTCTAGACAAGTGGTGGCAAATCTATGGTACATATGCTGCAGCAGGCTGTTTGTTATCACTGAAAGCTCTAAAAGGTTTGCCATCACTGTTCTAGAGCATATTTTAGTACTGCAGGCCTCTAAGTGGCCCCAAGGAGAGAATTAAGACCATAGGTGAATTCTGTAGGGTGATATGACAAAAAAATTGATATTTAGACAATATGAAAACAAGCAAGTTTTTTTTCCTCCTCTCTTTTCAGTGCTGGGGATTGAATCCAGGCTTTGCATATGTGAGGCAGCACCCTACCACCGAGCTGCAACAGGTTCTCTTTTTAGCCCCTACTGAAAGTAATAAGCAAGAGGCCCTAGTTTTAGAAAAGCAAACAAATTTGGGGTCTTTGAAGCCCATTTCTACCTTTTTCTACTCCTTTCGGAATTGAGGATTGAATCCAGGGCTTTCATACTGAGCTACATCCCCAGATCTTTTGTTATTACAATGCGGGGTCTTGCCAAGTTGCTAAATTGCCCAGGCTGGAATTGAATTTGTGATTCTTCTGTCTCAGTCTTCAGAGTACTGGGATTATAGGCATGTACCACTATCCTTGGCTCATTTCTACTTTTACCCTCCTTTGAAAATCATTTTTTTAGTAATCCTGTGAGTGTGCTAGGCCTCCACAGAACCTACAAAACATGTACACCCTAGTGTCTTGAAACCTCTAGCCTCTCACTCTAACAAATTTGTTATTTTATTTAATTTTTGATATGGGGTCTCACTATGTTGCCCAGTCTGGGTCAAACTCCTGAACTCAGAAATCCTTTTGCCTTGGTCTCCCAAGTAGATAGGATTATAGGAGCCTGGCCCCATGTTCATTTTAATCACATATTTAGTCACAATGTCAAAGACATTGTAAGAGTAATACTTGCATCCTACAATTGACAGCTGTTGGCAATTTATAAAATGCTTGCATACCTGTGATCTCTCTGCTATGAACCTGTAAAATAAGAGGGCATAATACACCTCAAGCAACAAATGAAGCTCAGAAAGACTGGGCCCCTCCTGGACATGTGAGTAGCACACCCGCATCAGAATTGGATCCATGGCTCTAAGATAAAGACATTGCTCACACCTGGAAATGGAGGGAATACAAAAGCATTTCCCAGCTAATAAAAACATACTCATTACACGCATGTGGAAAAATCTCTAAGTCAAGTTTTTTGTTTTGTTTTGTTTTTGGTACCAGGGATTGAACTCAGGTCCTTGTAAGTCAAGTTTTTTATTGTTGTTTCTATTAACACTTTCAGAACATCTGAGAATCTAATATAAACTATATACTTTCACCTAAGAGAAAGAGATTAATGAACACATACACAGAATTTCAGGAGGTTCACAGCACACATTCCAGCCCTTGGGCTAGTGCTTCCCAGACGCAGGTCAACAACCTACAGTGATTTCTTTGCACATACTGGATAATGCCCAGTGAGGTGGTCAGGGATGTACTCTGCTTCAGGGCAGACAGCGATGGATGGTTAGGACACTGTTCACTGGGAACCACCAGCTTAGGGGGACATATGCTGAGCGTACATCAGTGTAGCACTGAGAGACTACACAGCTGTGCAGTGGTACAGAAAAGGGAAGTGGTAAGGAGGGA